ATTTCTTGATTTATCGATCAGAATAAAACATTTGAAATACTTAGATTTAATATAGACACTTGTGAAAATGTTATACAAAGTATTTTTATATTTTGAAACAAAATAGTTTTAACATTATTTATAGAAAACAAAACATTTTTTTTTAATACTTTATTTTTAATATTTTTTTTTTGTTGTAATTTTATTAAGTGCAGTGTTTAATGGTACAAAGTCCCCTAAGATTAAGGATACATTACTCAATATCTGTTCAAGTTGAAGCATTTATTATAATAAATGTCATTTATTGTAATAAATACCATTAATTGTGATAAATGGCAAACTTCCTTTATGTCAAATTTAATCGGTTCACGTAAAACATCAAAGTTAAAAGAAAACAAAAAAAATTATACGATGAGTTTATCGTAATAAATCGAAATGTCTATTTTTAATATTAATTCAGAAATATAATGATTTGTCGATTTATGGTGTTAAAATAATGACAGTTTGAATGTACTGTAAGATTGTAAAATTAATGCAAAACATGCCTTTAAAAGTTTTTAGATATTGGCTTTAAATGTTTCTATAATACAAAAGATTCAACAGTACCTCATTTGTTTGTTAATTTCTATGATTTTTCTAAAGAAATATAATTATATTTTTGAACTTGCAAACCATCCATCAAAACTATTCAATTATATCAATAAATATTTTGATATATATATATATTTATTTATTTATTTTTTTTATTTATATAAAACGAAGAGCTGATTACAATATAATTTTGATTAATTTTCCTTAATTTCATTCTAACCTTAAAACTGAATTTTGTTTGGAAAAAAACTTAATTTCGTTGAAACGAAGATGAAATTAAGATTTGTGCGAAATTAACATAGTATTACTATGTTACGTATGTATTACTATGTTAATTTTTAGTATTACTAAAAAATTGCATTCCATGAATAACAAAGTGCTATACACAACGTAAACATAAACAACATCAGATATGGATATAAATTTAACTAACTCTACAAAATAACATAAAGCATTTTTGTAAAATTTTAATAATATAACATTTTTAATATAATTTTTTTTTATTATTTGTTTGGCAATTTGTTCAAAACAATAAATATGTCCAATATAAGTTTGGACAAAGCTTCATATTATCAAAAAGCATAATTCGGATAACATCGACTATTTCAATTCGCGAAATATGTCTTTACTATTTTTCACTTTTATAAACCAACTTTATTTTTCTTGAAACGATGAAACAATATATTAAATGAACTCCATGTCCCCCTTGAAAAACGATATAAAAATATTTTTACAATTTTCTAAAGAAACATATAGGCAAAAACTCAAATTTGTTTAGCTTTTAAATATGATTAACACTTATTGGCTCAACAAAGATATTCCACCCAAATCACTCAATAATTTAATTATGTATAAATGTTTTATGAACTTTTACTAGTTAAACCAATATCAATAGTTTTCTACTCGTAGTGCCACATGTTTAAATAGTGCTGGAAAAAAGCACTCATATATAAGATACGAGTAATATTTTCTAGTGTTGCGGGAATGGACACAAATTAACTTAATCGTCTTTTTGGTTTTTTTTTAAATTTATTTCTCGCGACCTAGTCTACAATAAATTTCGTGCCAAGCACTAAAAATTCTAGAATCACATATTTATTTAATATGTTTATTTTTTATATAGTTAATATAATTATACATAGTTTAGTTAATAGATTTTTTTAAATATTTTAAACTTTGGTTTTTTGTTATAATAAATTATTATTTTATGTAGTTATAAAGTCTCATCTGAACAGTGTTGAGGAGTGTTGTTTTGATAAATAAAGTACTGAGTAGTAGCACTTTTTTATTTATAAAGAATGCGAAAATTCATTAAGGTTCTTGTTCCAAAAATTTCCAAAAATTCATTCACCATAATTTATATGATTTATTCGAGTCATGAAAGTCAAAAGAGCAAAGCACTTTTGAGTATATAAAAATGTGTTGATTCATTGCTAACGTAATAAAATTTGTACTTCATCATTGTTGGGTAAATTATTGGGTAAATATTAAGTTTATTTATAAATAATCAATTATGTATGATATATAGTGTGGTATAAGTATCTATCAACGCGTACGTGATTTTAGCAACGAAATTTGATATCAAAACGAAATATAAATCAAAACATTAAAAGGAATTCACAACATTTCGTACAATGACGAAAATTCCGTTTTTATGCGAAACAACGAATCAACTTCTCGCTATGAGCAATTATATAAATAAATACAATAATTTAATAAACTGGGTCAATGGCTGACGGAAATAATTTTCAAATAATCTAACATATGAACAAAAAGTCACTTTAACACTTCCGACTTACGAGTTACTAGTCGAGTTTAGTTGAATTTGATTTGAGCAGTTTGTAGTTAGGTCTGCGATTTCCATTTCAATAGAAATCAAAAGGTGAATAAACTCAATTTTGTCTTTAATAAAATGCTTGAATCACTTCAAATTTATTTGAATTAATTCAAATTTGCTATCAACGCACAGCTGACGCCTTTTGACATGGTCAGATTCGTTGCCTCTGATTTCAGCTAGTTAATTACTTATTATGTCGGTCTAAGTCTAACTGAAAAATTTTAGCAACAATTCGAATACCAATTAAGAAAATTTACATAAAGTTTATTCTTGAAATTCGCAAAGATTTTTTGCACATTTTATTTATAAAAATAATTCTTTGCATACATAAGTTAGCATTATAATTCACCTGACCCAGACCTAATAAACTTGAATTTCAAATTGAATTCGATGATTTGATTTCAGAATTTTCAATGTTTTGCAATGAGGCTTAAGCAAAACTTCGCATTGAAACGCAAATTTAATTTGCATTATCAAGAATTAAATTCAATCAAAATGTAGCTAAAAGTGAAAGGTGATAATTACTTATAATAACGTTTGTGTTACTTTAGAATTTCGGAGTTCAAAAAGTTTTCTTAATTCCAGTTACTGAATTGTTAAATCGTGCCACGGGGCGTATGATTATTTTAATTGCACTCTGTGTGGTGTACTGCTGAGTATACATTTTAAATATTTCTAATAATTTCAAAAAACTCATTATAATGAAATCAAGTGCAGTAATTTAAAAGCAATTTAAACGAGTTTTAAATAAAAATAATAATTAAAAAAATATTGTGTTTAATTGCTATAAGTACTGTAAGTATATCATTTGAGAAACAAATAATTTGCTTAACGATATTATGTCAAACATGTCACTTTACATTTAAAACACAATCTAGTGTGAATACATATTATGACAATTAATTTTAAAACATGTGAAATTAAAATAAAAAACTTGCTATATTATAAGCTCAGACAATTTATGTTTAGTTGCCTAACGCCAGTGGCGTATTTAGGAGGAGAGAACAAGTCGATAAATTCACTCTTGAGAATATAGTCTGGAAAAAAAAACTATACAACTCCGATATATATTCGTGTTTATAGTTTAGTACTAATATTAACTAGAAATTCTAGAAATAACTAGAAATTAAAATGTTAGAAACATTCAAAAACTTTTCGACTTAGAAAAAAACTACGAAAAATAATAATGATAGAAAGTAATAATAATAGATAATAATAATGAAAAAAAAAATTAATTATAAAAAATAATAAGAGTAAGAATGATAAAAATTATAAGAATATTATTTTTCACATATACCTGTACACATATACAAGGTGCTGGGTTTAAGGAATATAGTGCTGAAAAAATTTCTTCAACTCTTGCGAATAATAATTGAAGTTCTTCGTTTCTTTAACAGTGTTAGGTGCATTATAGTGATATAAAAATAATCAATGCAGTTTTCTTCCTGATTTCTTACTAATTTTTAAACTTATTTAAGTATAAAAATATATTAGTTGTCAAATGTAAGAGTATTTAACGAACTAAAAACTGATCTATAATAGCCGTGATTTTTCCTTTCAGAGTAGCAAAAAAATACTCGCAACTTACGAAAGAAAACATATTAAGCAACAACAATGATCTTAAAATCTTCAGAGTTAGGTTTTACTCGCAAAAATTTTCACGTTTTAAATTTTAGTGCAGCCAAATTCAAAACTTATTCTATTGTGAATGTTCACTGGAAATACGTTGCAAAATTCCAGTCACCCTTTAAAATCATATGAGTAACTTACTAATAAATTCAAATATATAAATTAATTGAAATATATAAAATTTAAATAAATATTCTAAATAAATATTCATTTTGTTTTTTTATTTAAATTAATTCATTTTTAGTGTTTACACTTCTTATATTTCATATAAATATACACAACAAAAAACATATGTCAAAAATAAGCATTTAATATATTTTAAAAATGTTGTCACTTTGTTTCAAACAGAGTTAATGCTATTTTTTTACAACTCTAAAAGAAAAAATTACAGCTAATATAAACTAATTCAAGAAGTACTTTTTAGATATAGAGTGTTTTACTACAGATAATTTTGGGTTTGATATTTTTATGAAACCCTCCTTTCACGTTAATATTTAAAATAAAATCCCACAAATATGTCCTTCTTTCTCTAAGGACATATTTTTTTATTTACATTATATTATTAGGAAGCAATATATATATATGGAAATTAAAATAATAAAGGTATACAATAAAATAATAAAGTATATAAAGAAACAAAAACAAACTAAACAATATATGTATATAATGCATTAATTACCAGAAAAAGATTGATAGAATTACCTCATTACTCTGATTGTAATTCAGAAGTCAAAGTTCACAGTTCTTACCTGAAAAAGTACAAAAATATTAATTAATATTTAATATTACAGCATATAAATATATTATTTAAAAAATAATTAATTAAATTTAATAAAAAATATGTTCCACATTTATATATATTATATTAATCCCGTCAAAGTAAATATAAATAATATTATTAATATATAATATTTATTCTAATATATATGCTAGAATTCTAATATTAAATTTTATTTAATTTCAGTATCGACTGCTGTAACTGGTAGAAGCATACAATGAGTAAACGAAAAAAATTTCTATAGACCATAGAGAAACCGAAGTACTAAGGAACCAACAAATCTAAATCATTTCACGAAAATCAATTTCATAAAAGCAACCAAAGAACATGGTACTTAATCTTCTTTTCATAACTACTGTGATAAAATCCACATTTGGTGTGGTAACAACAGGACTTTGGCTTATACCATTAATGTTAGCAGCAATTACATATTATAAATATGATGCCGTAGATCCCGAATCTAGGCCCATCGATCAACAACAATTTTATCCTGAATATGATTTTATAATAATAGGTGGTGGGTCAGCCGGTGCAGTAGTGGCAAATCGCTTAACCGAAATTAGAAAATGGAAAGTGTTATTAATTGAAGCAGGACCTGATGAGAATGAAATTTCTGATGTGCCATCATTAGCAGCTTACTTGCAATTAAGTAAACTGGATTGGCAATATAAAACTGAACCATCAAATAAAGCATGTTTGGGTATGGTAAATAATCGTTGCAATTGGCCACGTGGTAAAGTGCTAGGCGGATCAAGTGTACTAAACTATATGTTGTATGTACGTGGCAATAGATATGATTATGATCATTGGGAGTCTTTAGGTAATCCAGGTTGGGGTTATGATAATGTTTTGCATTACTTCAAAAAGTCTGAAGACAATCGTAATCCTTATTTAGCAAAAAATCAATATCATGGACGTGGCGGTTTACTCACAGTACAAGAATCACCATGGCACTCACCATTAGTAGCCGCTTTTGTAGAAGCAGGTACTGAAATTGGTTATGAGAATCGTGATATTAATGGAGAAAAACAGGCTGGTTTTATGATAGCGCAAGGTACCATTAGACGTGGTTCTAGATGTAGCACAGCTAAGGCTTTTTTACGTCCAATTAGATTGCGTAAAAATTTTCATTTATCAATGAATTCTCATGTTACTAAAATTCATATAGAACCAGATACAATGCGCGCCAAATCGGTGGAGTTTGTTAAAAATGGCAAAGTAATACGCATAAAAGCACGCCGAGAGATAATACTATCAGCTGGTGCTATTAACACGCCACAAATTATGATGCTTTCCGGTATTGGACCGAAACAACACTTAGAAAAACATGGCATACGAGTTATGCAAGACTTGCCAGTTGGCGAAAATATGCAAGATCATGTTGGCATGGGTGGCATGTCTTTTCTAGTCGATAAACCTGTGGCTATAGTACAAGATCGTTTCAATCCTACTGCAATCACATTTCAATATGTCCTACGCGAACGTGGGCCTATGACGACTTTAGGTGGTGTTGAAGGCTTAGCATTTGTGCACACACCATATTCAAATAGTAGTATAGATTGGCCTGATATACAATTCCATATGGCACCAGCGTCGATAAATTCCGATAACGGTGCACGTGTGAAGAAGGTACTCGGCTTAAAAGAATCGGTATTTCAAGAAGTATATAAACCTATTGCAAATAAAGATACTTGGACTATTATGCCTTTACTTCTAAGACCACGTTCACGTGGCTGGGTGCGTTTACGCTCCGCAAACCCATTTCATTATCCAATAATTAATGCAAATTATTTTGATGATCCAATCGATGCAAAAGTACTTGTTGAAGGTGCAAAAATTGCGCTAAGAGTTGCAGCTGCAAAAGTTTTTAAACAATTTGGATCACGTGTTCATCGTAAACCGCTACCAAATTGTAAAAAGCACAAATTCTTATCGGATGCTTATTTAGAATGTCAGGTACGCACGATATCAATGACAATATATCATCCTTGCGGTACAACAAAAATGGGACCTGCTTGGGATCCTGAAGCCGTTGTCGATCCAAGATTACGCGTGTATGGCATACGTGGTTTGCGTGTAATTGATGCTAGTATAATGCCAACTATTAGTAGTGGTAATACGAATGCGCCTGTTATTATGATAGCTGAAAAGGGAGCCGATTTAATTAAAGAAGATTGGCTTAAAAATCCAGAATATCAAGTTAAAAATACAAGTTAGCAGTATATAATAGAAAATCGAATATATCATAAATCATATAATAAAATAAATAATTTATAAATCATATAGTATAACATATAATTTATAAATCATATATTGAAATATGTAAATCATAAATCATATGTATATATAAAAAGTCAGGACTGTAAGCTTTATTAGTGAGAAAATAAAAATAAAATTGGTGCCATCATTCTAAGCCTTATAAAAAATTCCCTAAATTACGAAAGCGTATGAAATATATTAATTTTGTTGAAAATAAATATATATTAGAATTTATTTATCTAACAATGGGATTTACACAAATATAAATGAGGCATCAACAAATTCGCTACGTTAGTTTTAAATAAAAAAAAATATTTTGTATTCAGCAAAATGTTACAAATTCGAGTCATTATTAATTGTATTAAGTTTTCGTTATTTTATTTTTAAGTGCTTTAGAATATAAAATTTCCACATTTTTATTTATTGTGCATATATATTATATATACATATATAGTTAAGTCATTTAAACATTAAAAATGTATTTAAAATGCTATGCGTGATTGGATGATTTCATGCAATCAAAGCAAATATTGTAAATATTATTTTAAATTTATTTAAAATTCTGATTATACTTTTATTTAGAACTAATAAATATCTTGATTTATGCTGTTTCAAAATAAATTGTTTATAAAACTATTAGTTATGCAGAATTTATATATTTTACTTTAAAACTGCGGTAAGTATTTGCATACATATATATGATAATGAGAATGAGTTCATAAAAATATATAACATGCGACAATTTCCGAAAAAGTTAAATGTATTTAATAAGCATGAAATTATCGCATGCTAGAATGTGATATATTCTTTCATTATAGACAACTTAAAAGGGGAATTTTAATAAAAATTAAATCAAAAATATATAATATAAAAATGCTGATTTGAATATAACGGATTCATTTAACTAAAATAAATTAAAAACAATGATATTAGAAATAAAGTTATTAACTATTAGTAAACGCAGTTTAACTATATATATATACTTTATAAATATACATATTATTGATGTTATATATAAATTATATATTATTGATATTATGGTATATATATTATACATTATTGATATTATGTATTATGGATATTATATATATTACTGTTTTAAAATATGTACTTGGTATATAGTACATATTCACAATGATGTACAGCGATGATTTCTAGTAGATCTACGGTGGATGTATAGTAACATAGATGTATACAGATGTATAGTAGATATATAGTAGATGTACTGGAAATGTATAGTAGACGAAAATCGAATTTCCAGTGGAGGATGTACATTAGATTTACAGCGGATAAATATTGATTCCATATTGAATGTACATTGAATGCACACTAGATTTACATGAGATGTACAGTGGACATATTTGAGATGTAGAGTGGTAGTAGATATAGAGATAGTCGTATAGTGGATATACTGTGCAAGTACTGTATGTTCTGTAGAAGCACATTTAATGTATATTAGATAAAAATTTATAAATAAATATATATAAATGTATTTTGATCAATTTACTTTGACAGTCTCAATACCGTCTTTGATGTCGAGTTGATATAATTTTAAATACCATAGCCAAATACATATACGCTCCCAGCTAGAAAAATATTTCGCAAATAAATTTTATTATAAAATTCTTAAAAATATTTAGATATTCAAAATAATAATTTCTATTCTTCTATTCTTAAAAAAATTATTAATTAATTCACAAACTGTGAAGTATATTTTAGCTTAAAAAAAATTAAACAACAACAATTTGACACAATTAAGTTCTAAATAACTTGAATGGATTTGCATAATGACTAAGAAAATTTAAGGTCGTATTAGAATAATAAAAAAAATCCATTATGCAGAGTGACTTGGAGACAAATCTTGTCTTGTAGTGCTGACTTGTAACTTTTTCTTTGATTAATGCAAAATGCTTAATTCCAGTAATAATGGGTGTTAGGTTAAAAAACCACTATGCCTATTTTATAGAGTTTGCTTCCGTCTAAAGTCTGTCTAATTTAAATTTCATAATGAAAATAAGTTAAAAAATAAGTTAAGTGGAAATTTTAAAATTTTACTAAAAGTGAATCACATGCTATTCTATTTTATAAGCGGGATTAAAAATCTTATTTTTTGCTTTAAACAAGTTTCAGTTATATATATTATATATAAATAATATTGAAATATACATATATCTACTCTTATAATTGTATGCGTAAATAATGTGTATTATTGACAATATCAGAACTAGAACCGCACTATAGTGAAGTAGGTGGTGTTAAATTAGCAATTTTTGTTATGAAAGATAGGACGAAGTTTATTATTAGCAATGTCTGGAACCTTTTTCAGAAATTAAATGTTCAGCGTAAATTCTGTTAAATAATTATTAATATTTTTAATCCAATTATTAGCGCAAATGGATAGTTATATTGCATTGAATTTATTTATTTATTTAACTAAGTAATTTTATGCTTATACATCAGATTGTACTTGATCATAACTATAAAGTATTTTATATTAGGTATAGTTTTATAGGTTTGTAGTTATATTATAGGTTTATATGTATTAAGATCAGCATCAAGATTTACTTTAATTTTTTAAAACATCTATCTGCATATTTAAACAATTACCTTACTCTCTGTATTGCTAGCTAAATTAGAATCATATGTAAGTTTATAATTTTTTTTATATATAATTTTTTTGCATATCTTAAATTGCGTGAATAAAGTTTTTACATAACATTCTGAAAAGAACATTTGACATTTTTCCATTTAAAAGCTAAGAATTTGGCAAAGCCTTTTAATCTTACATACTACACTCGTCCAAATATTACTATTATTGTTAAGGCACTGCAACCGTCGGGTCTATTGTTTAGAGTAGGTTTATAAGCCCTGTTGCGCCAATAAAAAGTAGTATAGAACGTAATTTACGGAGTTTTATTGCCTCTTCCGTAAGAATATACATTTTGAGGAGCCTATTCCTGCATTAGCGCAGGGCATTCTAACAGCACATGTGTGGTGACTCCTCATTATCTTCACAGAATCTACAGTTTGCATCCTTAAGTATACGCAATCCTGTAAGATGGTATTTTAGTTTACAGTGCCTTGTTAGGATTCCTGTGATGATTCTAAGTTTTTCTTTTGATAAGTTCATACAATCCTGGTATCTGTTATAGTTATAGGTACTAAGAAGTGATTTGAATTGTGTTAATCCTGGGATATTATGCCAGTATTTCTTTTTATTCTGGTTCTCTTTTTTTCTCGTCTATATATGACCTGTCGATTTTACATGCAGCGGGAAGATTTTAGATACTCCATTTCGATAGTAAGGTAAAAATATTGTACTTATATTTTAAAACTAAATTTATTAACTAATAGCTGTTATTTTTACTAAGAAAATTCTGTTAAATAGATATTACCGTTTCTTTTATCAAATATAATATATTAATATATATAATATATTAAAGTAGAACTACTGACTAAAATCACTACTACTTTTTTGTAGAGAATTTAGAACTTTCATGGTTCTATTATAATACAGATATAGTGTTTAAATAACAAATAGTTAAAATAAATATTAATTTATGTGGGAGATAAAAATTAATTAATAAAAATTAAATAATCTTAATAATATATGACATTTTTTTATTTTTCTTAATATTTACTTAATAATACAAACGTAATTAAGTTATTCGTAATGCATGTAAAAATGATTGTTTTGTTAAAGGTTATAGGTAAATTAATTTATTTTAATAATAAAAATACTTTAAAAATTGCTTGTAAAAAATTCAGTACACATGAGTATTGACAAGGTTAACGCATATATAATGAATTCTAAGCATTAAAATGAAAATCATATAGTTTAGTAGTATATAATTAAATAAGTTTAAAATTAAAGTATAGCTTTTGAAAAACATATTTTAAACATATAACTGACAAAATAATTATATTTTAATTAATAATTTTCTTTTCCAATACTTGTAAAGCTATTGGGGCCAATTTCGAAGTCATGGATAATTCATCAACTTCTCTGATTTTATGTTAGAATACTTACTGCTCTAAAAATCGATTAAATTATTTATAAAATTGCATTCACATAATAATTAGGTAAATGTGTTGAAGTTATAAAATAAAATATTTATCAAATAAATACACAATGCTCTTAAGTAATTATATATGCAGTGCCATTACTATAATGAATATTAAACTATAGTGCACTTAATGTCATACAATAAGCTATTAAGTTATATTTTAATATTTCAAATTTTTTAATTAATTAAATTTTATAATTTTAAATTTATTTTATAAAATGTTAAATTTTCTTATAGGTTAATTACTGCTAACGTTAAAGGTCTTTATTAATTGTTTTGTGTAAGCAATTATTTAATGTTTTTATTCTTGATACGTTCTTTGTAGACATGAATTATTAAGCTAATTACATTCATTGTAGTTGACGTAATATATTGCATGTATATATATATATATATATTGAATGAATTAAAAATTTTTTATATGGATTATTTTTTTAATAATAAAATTACTATAATATAATTTTACTAACAAAATACAGAATGCATGAGAACATACTTAAGAGAAATTATTTAGTTAAATTTTGAAAATGATTAGATACGAGTACGTTTATCAACCGAAGTGTCTAATTTCACTAACGCTGAACAAATTTTGGCATGTCATATCTTTTATCTATCTTCGGATTCCAATCCAGTGCTTGACGACATATTTCGATTGAATCCTTACGAAACGTATAGCCAATCTAGCGTAATTTACGTCTTTTTATAAAGTTTGCGATTGGTTCGATGTTGCATTATCAGTTGGGTTCTTCATTGGTTATAACATTTGACCACCAAACTGTTATAATTCTAATAATTTGTATTTTTTGTATTATTGTTTCTGTTGTGAAACATGTTTCACAACTATATACTAGCACTGAGATGACGTTTGCTTTGAAAATTCTGTGTTTCGGGTGTGTCT